TCTCACTTCCTCCCCACTTGTGTCTGCACTACATTGTTCCATTGGTTTAATCATTAATGCCACTTGGCCTGGGATTTATAATTTGGTGAAGTATTTTGAATTCTTTTTCTTCTTTGTGCTACCTAGAAGAGAATTCTAAGTATTGTTCCTTGGAAGAATCATCTTAAAACTTCAGAGTCGGAAGGGACCCTGTCAAGGACACACAACCACTTGACACCTAAACCACTCAGCTATCCAGCAGTGTAATGGATTCCTAACAGTTTAAGCAGTATCAAACTGCTAGAACTACAGTGGGGTCTTGACTTGAGAACTTAATCTGTATTGGAAGGCGGTTCTCAAGTCAAAACGTTCTCAGGTCAAATCTGCATTTCCCATAGGAATGCATTGAGAACCATTTGATCCGTATCTGCTCTTTTCCGTCCATAGAAACTAATGGGAAGCTGCTATTCCGCCTTTGAGGGGGATATTTTGTTTCTTTTTTTCTTAGGTCAAGAAAGGTTCAGGGAAGGCAGGGAAAATACAGTCCAGGCAGTACAGTACCAGGCAGTCTGAAGACTGTCTCCCAATCCACTCTCTAAACGCTGGGAGGAGTGAGGAAGCAGACAGGCACCCTTTTCACTGGCCAACAGTTAACTGAAAGTTCACATTTTGCACTTTCCCTGCCTCCCACGTGGTTTTTTTTCAGTTCTTAACTCAAATCTAAGTATGTAAGTCAAGTCAATATTTTCCTATGAGAGTGGTTCTTAAGTCAAAATGTTCTTAACTCAAGCCGTTCTTAAGTCAAGACCCCACTGTATTCATATCTACTCAGTTGCAAGTTCAGAAAGCATATATACTAACAGCAAAGATCATCAAACACAAACATAATCCATCACCACTATGGATAGGGTAATATGTACTTTCTTCTTCATAAACACATTATTTCCATGATACGCATATATAAGGTAAACAGACAGACACAGAAAACACAGGTGCTCTCCTACCCTCTATATTCTGGATAAGCTATAACTATTGATACTTCTCATTTACTCTTATGGCCAGTTCAGATCATAAACATGACACTCATGGAAGGACATCCTATTTACCTAATTCTCTCTAAATTGATCAAATAATTAAAAGTAGTTTCAACAATATTAAATATTAAACACATATTTTAGAATCAACTGCTATTTATCCTGTAGGCAAAGGTATCAGACAAGGATGAATTTTATTCTGTAATCTGTTCAGTCTGTATGCAGAACATATCAAATGGATAGTAAGACTACATTCAGATGAAGAAGGAATGAAAATTGGTAGAAGCATCAATAATTTAAGACATGCAGATAAGTATGGGTTACTTACCTGTAAACATGGTTCTTCAAGGGTCCTCCATAAAATCACACATATGGGTGATGAAGTGTACATGATGAAAGCTTCAGAACATTCTATAGCTTAAAAGCAAGACTGTTACAGTAGTCTCCTCTGCCTCCCAGCGTGCATGTATTGGCATGCAAATGCCCAATCTCCTCAGTTCCACATGGCCCCTACTGTGTGAAGCCCAAAGAAAAACCAAACAGTGTGACAGCCAGCAGGGAAGAGGGTGGGTTGTGTGACTTCACAGAGGACCACTTGAAGAACCACGTTTATAGGTAAGTGACCCGTACTTCCTTGTGGCCCCTGTGAATCACACATATGGGTGAGTAGTAAACTCACTTACTAGCAGGCAGGATGTCACGCCAAAGAAACCAAAAGCACTGCTCTTCTAAAATCTGAAGAGGACTTTTGTCCCGAACGTCCGATCTGCCATAATGAACAAAAGTGTAGGGCTGAGACCATATCACTGCCCTGCATGCCTCATGAAGGTGAACTCTTCTATAGAAAGCAGTTCAAGAGGAGACAGTCCTCGTTGATTGAGCCTTGACGACCTGCCAACGGATGCTTGGCCAACTGGTAAGACAATGAAATAATAGAAACCATCCAACAAGAAAAACATTGAGATGAAACTGGAGATCTCTTAGCCAGGGTATCATAACAAACAAGTAATCTTGGTGTAGAGCGAAAAGAAGCAGTCCATGAGATGTAGAAGGCGAGAGCCTTTCTTACGTCAAGCATGTGGAGGTTCTGTTCCAAAGGTGAGGAAGGGTTTGGAAAAAACGTAGGCAGTACTGTGAGTGGTAGTGAGAGACACTTTAGGGAGAAAAGACACGCCAGGATATGCTACGATCTTATCCTTGAAAAATTGCATATACGGAGAGTTGTGACAGAGAGCACAGTTCACTGGCCCAACAAGCAGATGTGACAGCAAGAAGGAAAGCCATCTTAAAAGTAAGTAGATGAAGGTCATATGTAGCCGTAGGCTCAAAAGGAGGGCTTGTCAGGCAGCTGAGGACCAGCTGAAGGGAACACTGAGGTGAAGGCAAGTGCCAATCAGGGTAAGTATGCTTGAGACCTCATAGAAACTGCTTCAGTTGAGGATGCCAGAAGAACTGGGAAGCCAGGGATCACTCAGGCTGCCAGGTATACTTTGATGGAGAAGGACAAAAAACCTGCTGTTTAAGCTGAAGGAGGACCTCCACTACCAAGTGAAAGGAAGGATTTGACAGTGAGCACTCTTTAGAGGTGGCAAAGGATTGGAAACAACACAATTTGTAACTGTAGATGCAGAGGGCTTCCTAGCTGCATTATTACTTAAATCTCCACAACATCCTCCAAGCCGTGAGGTGCAAACAGTTGAGATCCGGGTGTAGAATCGTCCCATTGTGCAGGGACAGAAGATCCAGATGGCATGGGAGCCTGACATGAGATGATAACATCTGGAGCAGCGGGGCGAATCAGGCTTGCCTGAGCCACCATGGAGTTATCAAGATAGCATCTGCCCTGTCTTATCTGACTTTGGTGACCACCATGTGAACAAGAGGCAGAGGGAAAAAGAGATAGAGGATGTGACAATCCCAATGGAAAGCTTCCCCAAGACTGTGGGTCATTTCCTGCTCAGGAACAGAAAATCCTGCATTTGTTGTTTCAACTCAAGGCAAAAAGATCCAACTGAGATGTATCTCACATGCTGTAAAGAGAGAGAAAGAATGGTGGTTCAACTCCCATTAATGAGAATGGGAACACATTCTGTTGACACTGTCTGCAGTCTCATTGTCCTGGCTGGCCTGAATGGCAAAAGGAAGGATGTGGTGCTCCATGCACCATTACCAGAATTACACCAAGAGGAGGAGATGCAAGGAGTGAGTCTCTCCTTGTTTGTTTATTTAGTACATAG